CCCTGAAGATTGAAGGTGAGCAAATATTGTCCCCACTTCAAAAGAAGGGGGGGCAAGGATTAAGAAAAATACCAATGACTGAAATTGACATCAATATGAGGGATGTTTCTAGAACATAACAATGGCCTGTGAGCATTAGTACAACACATGCACTAACAATAGCCAAAATGAATTTTTCAAGAACAAATTATGCCAGTGTGAACTGATAGCTGTAGTATGCCTAAAAGGAGCACATGAACAGTGAACAAGTTACTAAGAAGTCATTCCTTTATAGTACAACCTTGGGTTCCCAAATGTTCTTGGACTACAAATACTGGTCAGCACAGCTAATGGTGAAAGTTTCTGGAAGATTTAGTTCAAGAACATCTGGGGACTCAAGGTTGGGAACCACTTCCTACTTGCTGGGAAGGTGTACTGCCTCCATCATCAGTATTAGAAACCCCAGTTTAGATCAAACCACATTCAGAAAAGGATAACTGGGAGCTGTCCTTGGTGCTGCACCCTCTGAATGTCCAATTAACTTTTTAGACCAGCCTGAGTAGGACACCAGGAACTGAATCTTGACCTTCCCCAAGCAAAGCACTTACTCCAACTGAACTATATCCCCCTCCTCCATTCATTTTTGTAGGTCTTTTTTTTTTGACAACTCAGAAATTTTGTACTGCAGTAAGAACATTTCCTAACTTCATTAGGTTTAAAGTTTGTCTCTGCGGCAGAGATGGTTAAGGCTTAAGTGTAATTATCTAAGAAACTTTCTATCAAACAGAGTATTCTACTAATGCTTCTTAAAGCAGATTTACTAGTATACCATCAAACGTGGGTGGTAACCAAAAACATCTACACTGATATAAAATTCCTCTCTCCTCTGGTGTCTCTTAAAGATGTAGAAATTAAATATACAATTTCCTTTTGTTATGAATCACTTGCAGATATCAGGGCACTGGGGCAAAACAATTCCTGTTCTCACAGTATTTGTAGATCAAGTGTTGCCCAAATGCTGAATTATAAGGAAAACAATCTTCATACTCCATATGTTTGCTATATCTCTCTCCTGTATAACACCTCTTGTAGAATATAATTTCATAGAATTTAGCAGAACAGTTTTGCAATGAAAAACTTTCATGATCTTTCCTATAGGGAAAGATTCCTCTTCTATACAAATAATGTGATGGCTTGCAAGGTGGAAACTGGCCAGACGTTCCAAAACAAATTTATTTCTTTCCATTTTTGTCCAGCTCCGTCTCTGGACATACTTCCCCCACACAATTCCATTTGTTCTGCTCCTTTGTGTGTTCAGCCACATCCAGTTAGTGTGTAAGACACTTCCTACAGCTAAAGCATTTGCTCCTTTTTTATCCAGTTCTCAAAAGAGCTGTCTAATCTGATTTGAGATTTCTACTTTATCCAAGTCCTAAGAGCCTAACATCTGCAGCTCCTCCTTCTCTGTGTGAAAAATCATCTCAAGCTCTAGAACAAGAGAGGATACATTCCTACAGCTTTCCATCATAACCTCTCTTTGCAAAGACTTTTGGTTTAGATCCAGAAGATTCCACTCCTCCTTTATGAAATACATAGCTGTATGCTCCAAGGTACTAGTTTCTATAGAATGAGCATGTTTCTTAGAGCTTCTGGAACTGTTTCTTCTGTGGGTAAACAATATTTACAGTGACATTCTCCCCAAATTTAAAAAAATCAGGCTTTCTTGAGCCGTAACATCCAAGCTATTTCTACCTCAATCCTTTTTCTTCTTTCACTTCTTCCTTCTGGACTAAGACAGAGATTGAACCGTACACTCAGTGATGATCTTGGAACTGAGCATACAGTAGGTAGTATTGTGTAGGATCTGGAACAGACACAGGCATATCTGCATCCTAACTGATAGTAAGGACTGTCCTAGGTGAAATTATAGGAAAGAAGGTAGGAGGCAAACATGCTGCACCACAGAGAAGTCCTCTAATTTTTAGGAAGGCATCTTCACTGTCTTTTGTTATTAAATTTATAACTGTTACAGAGAAAATCACTGAAAAGGGAAGGATGTCACATTATATTGTACCATAAAAGATCACAGCTAAGCAAATAAGAGGCTTGGTAAGATATATAGCTGGTGCTAGACAAATTATACTATACTGTATGCTAAATTTTCTTTCTACCATTTATTTAGTAGAATCTTTAAGGGATTAAGCAAAATACTGACAGGATTTTTACTGATGTTCACAAAGGAATTGTGCAACTTGCTACAGCTAAACCCCGAAAACTGACAAGGAGCTGGTGACTTGTCAGTTGCAAGCCTGGTGATATTCATATGTTTATTTTTTTTTATTTATTTTTTTGCTTTTGTCATGGATTCATTCCACCTAAATTATTAGCTACATCTTCAATGGAGAAATAAATCCCATATCTGCCAAATGAAATATGAATTAGAAATTGATGTTTGGTCAATGTATTAAATACTATGCATTTAGTATGACTTAAGACAGAATATAGAAAAGGGTACAAACTTTGGTTTTTCACTACATGACAGAGAAAAGTCACATTAGTGAAGGAAACAGAAAGTACAGCTGTGATTCTTTTGGATACTGATTTATTAACACATCTTATTTCTAAAAAGTTAAAAATATGGTAGAAGGAAAGCAATGTTTAAATCACATTTCAGAAGTGTTATCAATGTTTGAGTGACATAAATGTGAAGGATGGGGAAAATATTCTTGGTCAAGATAAACAGTCTCAAAGCTTCCAATAGACACCAAACAAAATGAAAACACAATGTCTTCAGACAAGTTCAGATTCTTTATCATTCTTACATATGTCCTCCTAATATGCAAGAGATACAGGCTACATTATTCTCAGGTTAAGAAGAATATATTACACCAGTAGATGTTAAGACAACTCACATTTAATGGGTACAGCCAACACAGGGATCCTCCCTGCAAGAATCAGTGGAAGACACGATCCCAACTTCACCTTCCCTGCCAAATCTGTCCTTTTTGAGCACCTGATAGCAGGAAAGGTGGTATTAAGCATACTAATCTCTTTAGACAGAGTTGAGAAATTGGATGTACAGATTTTAAAAATTCATTACACTACAGGAATTGTAAACTTCAATTTCCCTTAAGAGTTAAATAGTCTATATAAAGATTCTGATGTGCAGCACAGTGCTAAGTTTTTAGACAAACATGGAGATAAGAGTTATGCATAATATAATGGAAAGAACATATACATACACATCATGGAAAAATACCAATGAGGGCACATACTGTATAGAAGAAATACAGTCAAAGACAGTCAAAATCATAACAACGTACTCATTTCTGAGAAGTGCAATAACAATCATAACTTCAAAAACAGTCCAGCCCATCTCACAATTCAGAGCTGTCACCTGAACAGCGATGAGCTATCCACTGTCAACAGTTTACTTTTGCTGTCAAATGTTCTACATCCATTCACAATCATATCACACCTTCCAATTTAGTTCCACCCCACTCACCTTTTTGGAGCACATAGTCTTAGTTACTATACAAAGAATTTTTAAGGAGGCTATTTAACTGTGACAGCCCTTCTAATTAGAAGAGAAACTATAATCTGTAACTCTTAATCCTGGAATCTGTAATTGGGGTGAAGGTCAGTATGGTACAAAGAAAGCATCTCTGCACAAGTTTCAAGAACTCTATACAAATTAAAAAGCAAATCAACATCCACAAGCATAATTTCCTAGGTAAAAGAAGGAGGGGAACAGTATCTTAGTTTGAGCAACTGAACAAAGAATGCAAGTGTACAACTAAACTTTCAGGAACATAGTTGAGTTACTTACAGGGGGCGGGGGAGGGAACAGAGCACTGTGGCATTCTGAAGATTAAAAAGTTTATTTTGATGTAAGCTTCTATGAACTAGATACATCATGTGTCACCCTCAGTTGTTATCAACATAAAAATTTATGGTATGTGGTGTGTGTCAATGTCCTTATAGCACCTTATCTCTATTCTACTAATAGTAGGCTTTCCAGCTCTCCAGCCCAGCTCTTTCCATTTGCTGTTATCATATTCTTCTGAATAATACTGTCAGGTGGAACAAACTATGTGTCAAGACCATACGAGTACCAAAATATACGTATGGTGAAAACCAGGGACAAACATCATGTGATTACAAAGGAGATAAACAGCAGAAGCTCATTTGTGGGGAGATAGGAATAATTTGCAAACAAAGAAAAATTATTTCCACAAATGTAAGAATAATGAAATCCCCACTTCATACCCTCATCACCTTCACATGGTACTTAATATCCCACCTGAACACACACTTTCCTGATTCCCCTGATGAAATCTAGTGCCTTCTTTGAACGTTCCCTTTCCAAGTTAAGTAACGAAATAGCTATCAGTCAGCAACAGTAACGCAGCCTCATCATTCATTTAAAAACTAGTTACTGCAGAAGAATCGCGTTCCCAGACTGGTATCCTTAACCTTACTACATACATCCTCTTCCAGTCAGCAAAGACATTCGCTACTAACTGGTTGTGGGGGCAAACGTTACTTGCTCGTCCCTTTGCCAGTGCCGAAGAGGGCTCCTTTTAAACAGACACGCGATTTCCAGGCCCCGGCCGGAGCCCTCCTAGCAAAAAAAAGTTCCAGCGGCCCACCCTTCCTCTTCCAGTAGAAGCCGTTCCCTCATAACGAGTAACGTCGAAGACAATAGAAAAGGAACTCAATTCAAAGAACTTACTCGCTTTCCATCTTCCGTAAACTAACCCTCAAACCCACCCACCCCCTCAGCATTCCCTTACTCACGTCGTCTCTTCACTCGCCTCACAGGCAACGGAAACGCACAGCGTCCCTTGCACGCATGCGCGGTGGGCCGCAGGGGCGGGGAGGGAGCGAAACGTGCTCACGTCTCGCGTACGTGTTGCGTCAGGGCCGACTCCGGCCATTCAGATGAAGGAGGAAGAGAAGTGGGCGGCACCATAGGCGGAAGGGTTCTGGAGGACAGGTGTGTGCTCTTCTGCCGGGGATGCGGGGACTTCAGTTCGGTGATGTTGAGAGACTGCGGGTCAGGGTCGTTGAGGGTTTTGGTGCTGCATGTATTTGGGGCGGGGAGGTTATTTCTGCTTGGCTTCAGACTTGCATTTTCCACGTTTTCGGGGGAAAAAGTCATTTATTATATGTTGAGGTGCGCCTGATCAGTGTTAATTGCAGTCCTGTGCAGCTTGAGCTTGTATTTGGAGTATTGCTAAATGGTGTGATTTTTTTTTTAAGCACCAGATTTTGAGTCTTAGCCAGAAAGAGAGGTAGGAGAGGCGGTGAATTGCTAACCTCGACTCAACGTCCGGGCACCTGAGGATTTAAGATGCAACCTTTCTCTCTCCCCCACCCCGCCTTACTACTTCCCTTTTCCTTTCTCCTTTGCTGCTGACTTTTTACATCTGTCTGATGAACGGGATGTTTTCTTCGAAACTGACACAGTTGTGCTTTTATATGCTTTTTTTTGGGGGGGGTGGTGGATCCTAATCAAAGGATCGCCTGGCTATGTATTTTGGAACTAGCCGCCTTTGTTCCACGTTGAAGCTACAGATTCTGATTTGTCAACAACAATAATATTAAGAATATTGCTGTCCCGTTTTTGCATTTGCTGAATGGCACTCAAAACAATTTACAGTTGACATGAAATGAGAAAAATAATAGGCATGAAACAATTCCAAAAAAGAATCAAAACTGCTTACGGTTTGTTATCTTAAATTGGAGCTCTGGCTTAGGTTCACTGTTTGGGCTGTGCCTGGGAGCTCTTCAGACAAAGGATTGTCTATCAGTAGGGCACATAACTAGGCTACCTACATGTCAGTCATTGTAAAATCTGAAGTGGGCTGCTTACATCACAGTTCCATCAGCGCTTGGTGTGTTATTTTTAAAAAATGCATATGTCATCATTTTTTTTAAAAAAAGATAACACATTCATACTAGTAATCTGCTCATGTTTAATTAAAAAATCCACACAGTTAAAATAGGAAAATGACCAAATTTTTCAAAATAATCTCCTTCAGTATCTTCGAGGTAGAGAATAAACGTTACTTGTTCTGCCAAAGAATGCAACAACATATCAATTTTATCATCACTTGGTGAAAGGACTCTCCTCATAACTTCATTGTTGCAAAATATAATGATTGCCTTTGAAGACAAAGTGCTGTACTATCTGTTAGGAATGTAAATCCTAACTTCTTACATTCCAAATGGTGTATTGTAACTTTTTTCTTCTTGCCAGCAAGAACAAAAAGGAAGTTTCTGTTATGCTCATTAAAATCCTCACACAACAGGAATGATGTTTGGGACAAAAATGCCAAACCTTAGGCAAATTTGCTGGGTTTTGGTGGTAGATGGTAGAATCTGTATAAACATAGAATCATAGAAAAGTGAAGTTGGAAGGGTCTAACAAGGCCATCAATTCTAACCCCCTGTTCAACACAGGAATACAATCAATTGTATTAGTCAAAGCTAGGATGACTACTGCATTATGTGAGGATCTAAAGCACTGGATAGTTTGCTTGTGTTGTTAATAGTCAGCCAGTCCTCTTGTAGTTGTAGTATGTGTTTGCATGCACTTTGCTATTCTGAGGGAAAGAACGCAAGTTACACTTTATGCAAATTTCAGAGACCTGGAATGAAGTTAAAATAGCTATTTATGTTACTCTGAACTGGAGCTATATGTTATAGATGCTGTAAAAATTTTAACCTATTGAGGCACCCTAAAGCAATGGTGGCAAAAAAAAGTGTCCCACAAGATCCATTTAGCCCAAGGACCATTTTTGCACTCTCTCCCCAGAATATTGTGTTCAGAAAGTCACCATGTACCTTCTAGAGCCTGTGTGAGCACGCACAGCATTTTTAGGACCTTTACTACCCTTGGGACTTCCCATTCACACACACACACCCAAAAAAAACTTTAAGCGTCATGACTATGGTTACTTTATGAATTTGTTGCTGAAAGGAGAACTCTGGATGTCCATCTAATGTTTAGTATCTGTATGTAAGACTACAAAAATAAAAAGAGCAACCAAATCTTTGCAACCTTCTCTTTTGCTTATTGTGTGGTGTATTTGCTTTGAGTGTTCATCCAAGAAGGGGTTCTTGGGGGTTTTTTGGGGGGGGTGTTTGTTTTGCTTTCTTGTCTAATCCGAACAGTTACAGAATGACTGGTAACTATCTTTTTAATTGTACACATGTGTTAATTATAAAATCTATTATTTTCAAAGTATTTATAGATCACAAATTTTCGGAGCAGCTCCAAGGGCAGTTTATAAATCAAAACCAATTTTAAAGCACTCATAATTAAAAAGAACTCAAATCTGATACATGTGAACTCAGTAAGACTAGTTCTCATGTTAGGCATGTCTGACTCTGCGAATGTTAGCTGCTTGTCTAAAACTAAAGCAACGAAGCAGAGGGCTGATAAAACTCACTCTACTTTTTAATGTGTTTGTTTCAGACCACAAAAAGAGATGTTTGATTTGGCATCCCTGAAGGAGTCTGTAATGTTCATAGCTGTTTGGCAGAAACTCACATTTGGAATGGGGTAACCCAATATGTTTTTCTACCTGATGCATGAAGACCCATATCAAAATGCATAATACACAAGTTCTCTTGTGTATTATGCATCTGCTCCTCCCTGGCAATAAGCAAGGAAAAATGTGGATTAAATTAGTAGCCTTGTTCATCAGAGCTAAGTAAATAGCTCAATTTCTTTCAAAAATCTGAATAGAATTTTATTTCTAGTTTATTGCTGTGTATATTAAAAGAGACTGCTCTGTTATACCTAGCACAGGCATTGTTTCTGTTTCACTAGCTGTGAAATGTTCTATAAGCAGCTTATTTATTGCTTTGTTATTTTCTTGTTTCAATAATGTCCTTTTATGTTTTTACTCTTTGCTTATTTTCAGTATTTTCCTTTACGTTTCCCTTTCAGGAGTATACGGTGCCGTCTCACTGGATTCTGAAATGTTTCCTTTAAAGGATGTGGAACTCGGAGCGTTCACCTTCTTTGCTTCAGCTCTCCCGAATGACGTTTGTGGAAGTAATGGTCTGCCTTTGACACCAAACTCCATAAAAATCCTGGGGCGTTTTCAAATTCTAAAGACCGTTACACATCCCAGACTTTGCCAATATGTGGACATTTCTCGTGGAAAACATGGTGAGAATGAATTCTTCCTCCCGTCTTTTCTCCTGTCTTCAACTGGTGTGTGTGTGTGTGTGTGTACAAGTGTTACAGTAATTATTTAGTACATATGTTTCAGGGCATTGTAGACTTTAAAGACTTGAGAATTCTTTTTCCCCAAAGGCTGCAGAATGCTTTTCCCCCAGACTGACTCCGCTGCCACATTTTTCACTCTTGTCTCTCCATTGTTACACATAAGAGACACAGATGTAGTGTGCTGCTGGACTGTAAACCTTGGTTACCCTGTAGCTCAGATCACATTCATATTTTTAAGATACTTCCTTTTCTTTTTCACACTCTGCCTGTCATTACTCTTCTAACCCTCTCGCTCTCCCATCATCCACTTCTTATTTGGGGGAGGGGGGTTGGCTTGCCTTTTGTTTTAAATCCACAGGCTTCTTTCGGTCCATGTATTTCAGAGGTATCTGTAATTCATCAATCTGCCTTGCTTTTTCTTTAATTCCTTAAATCTCTCTTTTGATGTTCAAAGTTTAAAAGAAATGTGCTCAACAGAAGGCAGTTTCAACAATTCTTTTTCCGGTTCTTACATTTTGAACATTATCAATGAAGCATATATCACAGTGAGGATGAAGCAGAAGCTGCAATTCACACCTCTTGATATGTATCTAATAGACCATAGAATATTGCAGAGAGCTGCGTGAGATAGGTTTCAGGTGTAACTTTCCTCTGATTATACATCCAGTTTCACAGGGACCAGTGACAGTGATTTCCAGGCATGAAGAGTTCCCTCCCCTGTTCTCCAGCTCCCTAATACTTCTCCAAGTCAAAAGGGCAACCTAAGGATTCCTGGAACCCGAGGATGTTGGGGAAAAGAAGCTTTTAATGCCCTTAAGATGGCCACAGCACAGATTATGATTTTACATAATTTACAAATTGTAACAGGAGAAATGGGATTTCAGCCATTGTGACATGTTCAAACTAGCAAGTAAAATCATACCTGTCTTTTAAAAATGTCATCAGTGCCCACTGCTTTCTCCTGTGGGGGAGCTGATTTAAAAAACATTGATGTGTGCATTATGTTGACTAAAATGAAATTATGACACTTGTTTAGAACAGGACGAGAAGTGAGTGCATATTAGAGCCATCCCGGATGAATCAAATCCCACTGAAAATTACTTGTTTATATGCTGCTTTTCTCCCTATGTAAGGAAGTCAAGGCAGTTCATAGCATTAAAACATATTATGCATAATTCCGTTTAAAATAAATAGCTCATTAAATGACATTAAAAAGAGGTTAGAAAAACAACGAATAAAAATATATCAGAGCATTATTAAAGCAGATAATGAGAACTAAGCAGCACTGCAATTAAGGTTTTTCTGGATCCATTTGAGGCATGCAGTTAGATTTAGATTAGGCATCCTTCAGTCTCGAGAGACTACGGTAACATGCTCTGTATGGAAGACTTGGAACAGCGTCTAGTGCGGCTGAGAAGGCCAATATGAGAGTGGCAATCCCTTCTACACTGAAGACAAATCTTATCTCCCCTGTCCAGCTCCCTGATTTTGATGGTTTCGGGACTGCCTCTTCACATTGGCCTGCTGAACAAGGGTCTCTTCAAAATGCGAGAGGCGATGCTGCATAGCCTGCCTCCAGGCTGAACGCTCAGATGTCAAGGTTTCCCGTCTCTTGAGGTCCGTTCCTAAGGCCTAAATGCTAAAAATTCCAGCTTGTTCTTGGACTCCTCTATTTGGAACTTTGTCCTGCAAGGTGATACCAAAAATGTGTTGGAGACAATGCATATGGAACATGTTCAGCTTCCTCTCCTCCCATGCACAAAGGGTCCAGGCCTCTTTTCAGTACAGGAGTGTACTCAGGACACAGACTCTATAGACCTGGATCTTGCTATATGCCATCAGCTTCTTATTGAGCCATATTCTCTTTGCGAGTCTAGAGAACATGGTAACTGCTTTGTCAATGTGTTTATCCAGCTCGACATCTGGGGAGAGAGGGTCAGAGATAGTTGAGCCAAAGTACCTCCAATTCTTGTGTGAAGATGTTAATAGAGGGAAGTGAGTCCACGCCCTGGTCCATGACTTGTGTTTTCTTCAGGCTGATTGTTAGTGCAAAGTCTTGGCAGGCCTTGCTAAAGCGATACATGAGTTGTTGGAGGTCTTCAACAGAGTGGGCAATAACAGCTGCTGGACTTTGGTCTTTGCTCTCAATCTAGAGAGATTAAAGAGCTTTCCATCTGATCTAGTCCAGAGATAGACACCTGTTGCAGTTCCAAAGACATGCTTCAGCATGACAGAAAAAAAATTCCCAAACAGGGCCAATGTGAGGACACAGCCCTGTTTCATTCCGCTTCAGATGTCAAAGGAATCTGATATTGAGCCATCAAAACTACAGCGCCCTTCATTTCCTCATGAAAGGACCTGATGATGTTAAGGAGTCGAAGTGGACATCCAATCAAATCACACATGCGCCTGGCGATTGCCCACCAGAGGTGTGGCCGGGCGTGGGATGGGGTGCGGCATGAGGTAGATGGGGCTCAGACTCCGGGAGGCCAGCCTAGAGCCTCACGCCAGAGGAGCCACAGTGGGGAAGGAGCCTGCACCAGCTTGCACCATCTTGCCCAGCCAGCAATGGCGAGGGCAGTGCGCTCTGGGCTATGGCTGGGCTGGTGTGCCTCCAATCCCCGGAGTGCCAGTGCCGCCGCCACCTTGCCTCCTTCAACACAGGTGCGCACATACCTGTGTGCCCCCTTCCCTACACACATGCACACTCCACTGGGCACACTGGCCGGCTGGCAGTGAGACACCCCTTTCCCCTCCCGCACCCTCCCTCTCCTGGGAGACCCTAGCAAAGGGGGCTGAACAAAAGGTGAGCCCAACAGCTGACCAGACCAGCAGTGGGCTCGCCAGGCAGGCTTTCTGACCTGGACCCGTGCTAAGCTGTGATCCTTAGCCCTCCGTCGGGGTGGGGGCTTTTGAACCAAGGACAGGCAGACCTTTTGGGCGGGCAGCCTTCCACGTAATTCCGCATGGCCCGAGCAGGGCTTGGCTTGCCTTTTCTTGCTCGCCTCGGGCGGGAAGCAGTGTTGCTATGGCTGAAGGTTGCCCAAGCCCTGCAAAAACCATGCCATGTGCCTTGGTGGGGCGAAGCCGGTGGATCTGCCTGGAGCGGCAGCGAAGGGCACGCATCAGTCAAACAGGGAGACAGGAGCCCATGTGCAGCTGCCCCCCCAGCTTTTGTGCACTTGCTTGTTTGGCCGTCCCTACTGAGTTTTGCCTTTTACACTTACACGCGTGAGCGTGACATGCCCACCCGTGAACTCGGGGGTGCCCCCATCCCCCAACCAGTCCACGCACGGAGCCTGCACCCCCCCCAAATGGTCCACAGTCCCAACAAGGTTGGGGACCATTGTTCTAGGTTATTAGCTATTCCACCCAGTTTGGTATCATCTGCAGATTTGACAAGCATTCCCTCCACTCCCTCATCCAAGTCATTAATAAAAATATTGAAGAACTCTGAGCCTTGGGGTACCCCACTAGTTACCTCCTCCCAGTTAGAGAAGGACCCATTAGTAATGACCCTCTGAGTATGATTCTGTAGCCATGTGTGTGTTCACCTGACACTTGATCTATCCAGCCCACACCTAGTTAGCTTGCTAATCAGAATATCATGGGGCACTTTGTCAAAAGCTTTGCTGAAGTCAAGATATACTACGTCTGCAGCATTCCCTCTGTCTATTTGGGAAGTGACCTGATCAAAAAACAAGATCAAATTAGTGTGGCATGATTTATTCTTGACAAATCTGTGTTGGCTTCTAGTTATTACTATACTGTTTTCTAGTTGCTTGCACAACTCTGCCTCCTCTGCGCAGGGCTTCTCTTCCATGCAGACATACAGCAACCATTTTGAGTCTCTTTGGTTCCAGTTGTGATGGAACCCTGGGGCAGGGGCAGAGTTGCATAAGGAGCGGAGCCATACCCACCAGGGCTGAAAATTAGAGGGAACATTGCTGGTATGTGTCTACCAGAGCTGGAAGGGACCCTATGGATCATCGCGTCCAGTTCCAGTCAAGGAGGCATAGTGGGGAATGGAACTCCCAACCTTTGGCTCCACAGCCAGCTACCTAAGTCACTGGTATATATAGACTTGTGCAAGTTGCAATCTACTGAAATCGCATCCCTAAGTTTTCTGTGTAATTTTTCTATGTTGCTAATTTGGATAGTAGATATTCCTATGGGGAAGTTAGTGTGTGTGCTTGATACTGCTGTGATGACACATACTCCTGATCTGAAATTCTTTAAGGATGCTTGTGGCCCTTCCAAATATAGCTGGCAAAAACTTCCATTGGCTCTCCCAGTGTTGGAATTAGGAGAGTTACAGTCTAAAAGCATCTGGAAAAGCACTGTTGCACACCTCTGTGCAAAGGTAGATATGTAACGTGTGCATAAAGGGGAATCTTGATATGTATGAAGCCCCCTTTCATGCACAGTGTGTGCATCATAATGAGTAGCATATTGCTAGATGTACATATTCATAACCTGCAGCTGTTCTGGTTCCTACCTAACTTGCCTTTCCTGGTTCTGTTTACATTGTTGTTTCCCCTTATTGGTTCTTATGGTGCATATTGCATGTGGTCTGTCTCTTAAGAGCATTGTGTTTTTATGTATACAGTTAAACCAGAAGTCAGGTTTTGCCTGTTTTCTGTACGCTGTTCAAAACTGATTCAAGATGATCGTGCTTTCTTGGTATTTTGGCATTCACTGCTAAAGAGAAAAGAAAAATCAGCATTCCACCTGGGGCCAGTTTTAAAGAGAATATATATAGTTTTAACATGGTGAATTGTGTTGAACTAGCTTGCGTTCTGTAGCTAAATGTTCTGTTTGGCAAAATGGAGTGCGGCAAATAGACTTCACTCTGTAAATCTTTCCCTTTTCTCAACAAGTGAAGGTTTGTATGAATGGAAATATTCTTGCAACCGTATCTGGAGCAAAAGAAAGAGAAAATATTACTGTTCTAAAATCAGCAAGTAAAAAGGAATTGCAAAAGAGAACAATGCATTGTGTTGCATGTATCACCGGCAAAGCCTGTGTCCTACAATAGCTCTGGTGTTGCCAGTCAGAGAAATATTTCTGCTCCTCAAGTTGGGTAGATGGACAAAGCAACTGTTCATGCTACCCTTTCACACAGACATCAGCTGTGGCAATTAATAGGACATTGGACGCTTTTTTAGGGACGTGGTGGCATTGCGGGCTAAACTGCAGAAGCCTGTGCTGCAGGGTCGGAAGACCAAGCAGTCGTAAGATCAAATCCACGCGATGGAGTGAGCTCCCGTCGCTTGTCCCAGCTCCCGCCAACCTAGCGGTTTGAAAGCATGCAAATGCGAGTAGATCAATAGGGACCACCTCGGTGGGAAGGTAGCAGCGTTCCGTGTCTAAGTCACACTGGCCATGTGACCACGGAAGATTATCTTTGGACAAAACGCTGGCTCTATGGCTTGGAAACGGGGATGAGCACCGCCCCCTAGAGTCGAACACGACTGGTCAAAAATTGTCAAGGGGAACCTTTACCCTTTACCTTTTTGGACGCTTTTTTAAGGTTGAGGTGGCAGAGTTGGTGGGACCACAACAGGTTAAACCCCTTGACTTTCTGTATGTGTTGGTAAATTGCTGCTCTTTTAGGACTGCGATGTTCTGGTTGTAGATAGTAGTATTTTGTTTTAATAGAGTCAATATTGTATCACATGAAAATAATAATTTATTATTTATAATAATTCTGCAAATTTTTTGGTAATACTTTTGAAAGGCTTCCTTTGGGAAGGAACCTCAGATGTCACAGGATTTACAAGCGGAACTCCTTGTCAGTGCCTGTCAGGGAGATCCACCTGCTGAAGGCTTCTCTGTACTTTGTTTGGAAGGTACAACATTCTGGGGGCAGAATGGACATCTTCTTGTGCAGTGGTGAGAAGGTCCACCGCTGTTACTCATCCACATCAGATGTCTAGTGAAGAGAGTAAAAAGGACGAACCTTGGGAGGAGAAAAAGAGGATCACTCTTGGATTCTTTATCATGAACTAGCAGGAAAGACCACCATCATTGCTTCTCCACCGTTTAGGCCCCTAGAAGGGAGAACAGAAAGGCATTCCATACCTGAAGGTACTGAGGTATGAAATCAAGCATTCTGGATTGGAAGAAGGAGTTTGCTCCTGGGTATCTCCTCTGTGCAGCAGGAGGAAAGTCCACCTTGTTGGTGCTTTCCTGACAGAGAAAGCAAAAAAGAGTTGTTTACGGGAATGGATCAGGCTGTTACTCTAACAGATCCCCCAAATGGGTAGGAACTAAGCCACTCCTAGAGCTGATTTAGTTTATTTTCCTCTTAAAATTTCCAAGGAATGAAAAAGTCAAGAAGGAGTGAAAAGACTTTAAAAACTATTATGCTCAAAATCCTCCAAGGTAGGCTTCAGCAATATGTAGACCAAGAACTCCCAGAAGTACAAGCTGGATTTCGAAGGGCAGAAGAACTAGAGACCAAATTGCTAACATGCGCTGGATTATGGAGAAAGCCAGAGAGTTCCAGAAAAACATCTACTTCTGTTACATTGACTACGCAAAAACTTTTGACTGTGTGGACCACAACAAACTATGGCAAGTCTTTAAAGAAATGGGAGTGCCTGACCCCCTTATCTACCTCCTGAGAAATCTATATGTGGGACAGGAAGCAACAGTTAGAACTGGATATGAAACTACTGAATGATTCAAAATTGGGCAAAGAGAACGACAAGACTGTATATTGTCTCCCTGCTTATTTAACTTATATGCAGAATAATCATGCGAAAGGGTGGACTAGATGAATCTCAAACCGGAATTAAGATTGCCGGAAGAAATATCAACAACCTCCGATATGCAGATGATACCACTCTGATGGCAGAAAGTGAGGAAGAATTAAAGAACCTCTTAATGAGGGTGAGAAAGTGAATCCAGTGACTGCCATTCAGAGTAGTGTTCCCAGTATAAACCTTGAATCATATTCACACTGTGTCAAAAAGTGATTGCTATTTCTTTTGGTTTAAATTTTGCCTTTCTTTACTTACATAAATTTGCTAATTTTGGTTTTTATAGAGTAGTTAGCATTAAATAGAATATTAAATCCTTTTTGTGATATATTTCCACATGCATTTAAATGGTTCAAAATATGGACAGCGAAACAGAAATATGCTGAAAATGGCAGCTTGGCTTTGTGTTTGAGATTGTCTTGCATACAGTATTTGTCAGTGCAATAGATATTGAAGTGAGAGGAGAAAAAATGGTGCTATATTCTCTGAAGCTGAAGCTTTTCCAAACTTTGTAAATTGTTTTCATTTCTTGTATTTGTTCAGCTATCTTCCATATAATATATACTCAGTGTGACTGTTATATTTGAATAAACTGAATAGACATCCTCTTTGAATTATTGAGAGGCGGTATTGTAATAATATGGTTTTAATTTCTACAGAGTGAAAGTGTTTGATGCCTACGAGCACTGAAATACTAAATCTGCCTTTGCATGTGTGTCTATTTTTCATCAGAGAGGCTGGTGGTGGTTGCTGAACGCTGTGGAAGGAGCCTGGAAGATTTGCTTGAAGACAGGAAACCAGTGAGGTATGGAATCGAGCAAAACATTGCAGAGGAACATTTTAACTGAAAGGTTTATCTGCTTTTGGCTGACGTAGTCCAGACACACTTTTTCTTTTTAAAATGTTAACTACCTTTACAGGTCTATGTAGACTCAAAACTGACATCTTCCAGTGCTGCTTTATCCTTCTGGCAACCAGATAAACACATGCTTAGGGCGCAGTATATATTTAGTTCTGGAAAAGAAAAGGTTTTATTATGGAGATACTGAATCCTGCCAACCGTTTCTCTCAATATATTTTGTTTGCATTTTAATTTATGTTTTAGATTTTTAAAAATTGTATTTCCCCATCTTTAAATATGTATGTGTTTTTGGGGCAGAACCCTGAAACGCATTGAAGAACTCTATGTACACACCACAGATTCCATTGCTTATGAGTCAGTTCTTTTGGATTTTATGCTCTTAAATCATGAATGGCAACTTCACTTTTGATGGAAAAAAAGGAAAATTAATATAAATTAACAATTTTTTTTAGTTTTTATAGTACCTTGTTTAACACAAGAAATTGTAAAACAATACAGAGGTCAGGACATTTCCGCTTTCCATCCGGGACCTGCCTAATACATTTTATTGCCTGAGGCACAGTTTAAAAAACACATATTGTGGTCTGAGGTAAACGAAAAAGAGCAACACTTCCTCTTCCATTCTGTACAAAGAACCCTTGCAAGCAGTTACAGTCCTGTTACTTTAATGTTGGGCACTGATTGTTGTCCACAGCCCCTTACAAATCCATCTTCCTAAAGAAGAAAATTGCCAGGTTGCTTAGGAAGAAATGGGTAGGTGGCTGCCATTATTCACTTCGCCTGAGGCTGGCCCCACGTCCATTCCAACAGAGGGTACATTATCAGTAAGTGGGAGAGGGTTTAAACCCAGCTGTACTAATGGTCCATGTAGAAGATAGCAAAGTTGATGGTGTCGTAATATGCTAGAGATCATGCCAAATCTTGCACAGTAACAGGTTGTTCAGGGCTGTCACAGGTGGGATTGCTAATAGGAACAGGCCCTTACAGTGGTGTCTATCTTTTGATAATTAAATCAGCTAGCTGTTCCTATGTGTGAGACACAAAATATAATCCTAAACAATGTTTCTTATAGAGATTTTAAAGACTTAACTGTGTCCCATTGCCCATCCTTGCATTTCTGGTAGCGGTGTTAATATTTTCATTTTACTACTGATTCCCGGTGTGGTGTGGTGGATAGAGGGACATATTAGGATTCTGAAAAACAGGGTTCGAATCCCCACGTGGCCATGAAAACTCACTGGGGAAGTGGCACTGGCAAAAACATTCCTTAAATATCTCACTTACCTTGAAAGCCCTATTAGAGTTTCCAGATTGATGGCACAGAAGACAAACTGAACTCAGAACTATATGCGAAATAGGTGGCTAAGTAGTTTAATGGAGTAGTGCATCTGTCTGTGGAGGCATGGGTGAGGGGTCTGATTCCCCATTGTGCGTCCCAAGAGAAGAGACAGCTTGTGCATGCTTGGACAGGCTGTGTGGTCCCAGAAGAAGAGACTGGTAAACCACATATGCATCCTTCATATGTAGAAACCCCTGGGAAGAATCACCATAAGCAGGAATTGAATTTATGATACGTAATTATATGTATGTATCAATAAAATAATTTATAAACAGAGTGACAGAAAATAGTATATAGCATCACAACAAAATGAAGCTTCATTTCAGTTGCCACCGTGAACACGAATAAAAATCAACATGAAACGTACATGCACTAGATATTAAAAAGCAGAAAAAGTCTCATTGTAACCTGTTGCAAATGAACATCAGCTTCAAATCTCAACAACAGTCTATTAAAGGTGAAAGCTCTCAGTTGCCAGATGTGTTCTAACCATGTGGTCTTCTTCATACCTGAGAACTTAAATCACCCAATTCAGAGAAACTAACAAAAGCACAATATCCCTTTGTGTTTAGTTTTTTTTTTAATCTTCTAACCAGCTCCTGCATAGCACAGATATGTAGAGTTAGTATCAAAAGACCTGGAGAAACAGTTCTCAAACAAAGAAGCAACGGAATGAGATGTAAAATAACATCATTTTATGAGTTTACCTTTAGAAGGCTGCTCTATAACAAAACAGGTTTGGATATTGTACCATCTGAACATTGAAAGCACTTCAGTTTACAATATTTATGATTGGGTTTTCCTTTTCTCTTTCAGTATCTACTGTACGAAGTTTAGAAGTTCGTTTATTTTATGTGTGGCAAAAGTGTATGAAACGTGCCTGGTTTCATTTTCCTGTAGAGATCTTTTTATACTTACTCAATAAATCGCACCCTATCTCTCAAACATTGACAGATTTGAAGCAGGCAGGATTGAGTTCAGCAAGGTTAGAGAACTGAATGGCTGAAGTTTTTTGAAGAATTTGGAGAGTGCATAGAGAGCCAAAGCATAAATAAGGAGGAAGTGAAACCTTGGGCTGGCTGAACTGTCTGAACTTGCTGGTGAAGTGAAAAATAGAGTGTCCTTATTACTAAAACCAGGAAGTATTTCTTCTGTTTCATACATCAGATTCAGAGTGAGAAGCTGTCATGAAAGAAGATGCTGCACTACTGGTTGAAATTTAAAAAGAAAAGAAAAGGAGAAGAATGCTTAGGAAATTAAAGTGGATTTAAAAGCAGAAGTGGGGCAGGAGGCGCAGCTGAAATCAAAGAGTTTTGGAAAGCATTATCACAAATTAAAGACGAAGTAAAAACATTGGGCTTAGGAGTTAATCAGATTGATTGAAGGGTCCAGGCCAAAGCTAGGTAGCTGTAGGTACATGAAGAGAAGCTCACTGAAATTGATTTTAAAATGATTAATCTGGAGAATGGAGAAAAAAGCAACAATCTTGCGTGGCTTCCCCAAAGATGGAGCTGGAGATGGAGTCAAACTCAGAGATGTAATATTGCAATGGATCAACACTGCAGCTCCAAAACTAAGTTGTAGGCAAGAAGACTAGGAGAGATTTCATAGAGTGGCACTGGAACATGGACAACAATTGGGTCCCAAAGATATTGTGCTCCATTTGCTAATTTTTCAAGAAACTGTTTATGAAAGTGACCAGAGAAAAATTTGACAGTTGTCCTACAGTGAAATGCCAATGCAGGTATAGAATTGCAGGATGGCAGGAATATTTGAGAGGAAACCATTTTATATAAGCAGAACTTTTCAATTTTTTCCGGTGGAATATTTCAAAGTTTTGTGGAATATAGGCAAAAATTCTGATTTTTTTTTTCAGAATGAGTGCAGTAGCTTTTAAAACAGATGTCTGTTCATTAGTTTTTCACTTACCCCATATTTTTCGCTCCATAAGATGCACCAATTTTTTAGGAGAAGAAAACAGGAAAATATAATCTGTTTTCTTCGCTCCATAAGACGCACAGACTTTCCACCCCCCTGTTTTGTAGGAAAAAAGTGCGTCTTATAGTGCGAAAAATACGGTATGTCCTGCCCTTCGTCCACTGAGCTGAATGGGATGTACGTGATTCTCCCTGCTTTCTCCTCACAACCTGATGAGATAGGTTAGACCGATTAAGTGTAACTGGCCCAACATCACCCAGTGAGTTTCACGATCAAGTATTTTTAAAACCCAGGTCACTTGAGTCTTAGTTAGACAATCTAATTTCTACACCAAACTAATTAATCACTCAAAATTCCAGAAACTGTGTAGTATGAAGATTTCTATATAAACAAAGTCTACATATTTAAAGAGCAATGACTTCTGTGCATATCATAGATGTATATGACAATCACATAAGTGCTTTCACTTTCATCAAAGCAGCATACGGGGCTGGAGTAGATCCATTTTTAATGGATTGGTAATTACTTTTTTCCAGTTTTTTTCTTGTTTTCATTTGATGGTGGCAGTCAAAGGAGGACTGTTTCTGTCCAACTAAAATGTATCTATTTATTCATTCATTTAATGTATATCCCACCATTCTCCCAACTTGGGACCCAAAGTTTATCATATAATTGATACAAAATAGAATTTTTAAAAGTGCTGAAATGCTGTTGAGCACTTATGCAAACGTTTAGAAATATTTTGCTGTAAGTGAAGAAATCACTATAGATCTATCTGTTGTATGCCAAGTTGTGTGACTCATTATGCAAGAGAAAATGTCTACAGAGATTTCTAAACTTATGGGAGTTCAAGTCCATTGTTTGCATAAGTGCACAGGATTCAAGCCATAATATAAAGATTAAGACATTTAAATCACTTTGTTTATTACAGAATGTCATTTCTGTTTTATTTTTTCCCAGCTTCTCAAACAGAAAAAACACCCTATGTGGATTTAAGTACAACAGTAGTGTTAATCATAAGGCACAGTACCTTGCACAATGCTTTGTGGCTTTCTTTAGTATAGGATATATTCATAATTCTGCTTGTAGACAGTTAAGGCACATTAGAAATGTAAGGTGCTTATAGTTTTGAAATGTCATCAGTACATAATTAATTATATTTTATATGCTGATAATGTTGTGAGTGAGCCATTTTGTGTTGCTAAAACAATAAAATAAATTTTAATTTCTATAAATAAGAGTATTTTAATTTTTCCGCTAAAATTTCAATTTTTTCCTGAAAGAAAGGCTTTCTCATGGCCTTGATCATAGAATCATAGAATAATTGAGTTGGAAGGGGCTTACGAGGCCATCAAATGCAATCCCGTGCTCAATGCAGGAATCCAAATCAAAGCACATCTGACGGATTGTTGTCCAGTTTTCTCTTGAATGCCTCCAGCATTGGAGCGCTCCCCACCTCCTAAGGTAACTGGTTCCATTGTCATACAGCTCTAACACTTAAGAAGTTTTTCCTAAATCTGGCTTCCTGTAGCATGAGCCCATTGTTGTGTATCCTGCACTCTGAGATGATCGAGAACAGATCCCAGGTCTCCTCTGTATGACAGGCTTTCAAGTATGTACAGTGGTGCCCCGCTTGACGATAATCAGTTCCAGGAAAATCGCTGTT